GTATTTAAGGCCCATGGGCACATAGCGAATTTTTAAGTGCATATTTTGACTGCAACCCATCAACCACTGCGAAATATCCACTTACTACCGACCAAAAGACTTAATTAGTATAAACTTATGTTTTAATTTACCAAACAAACAGACTAAGTACTAGCTCAAGGCCCAGACACGTATTTCGCCGGTATTCTGCCGCTGCTTGACACATTTGCGAGGGGTCCGGCTTATCAGTGTGTTCCCCAGCCTTCGCTGTCGGCTTTCTGGTTGATATACCGTTTTTGAAATTTCAGCTTTTTAATATTCTGAGAAATTAATTTCTATTCGCGGTATATATCAGTATTTTTAAGGTCAAGAGGCGTAGACCGACATTGTTAGTGTATATTTTGGTTGATACCCGTCAACCACTGCGAAATATGCGCTTGCTGACGACAGACAGACTTTAGTAATATAAACTAATGTTGTAACTTGCCAATACAAGCGAACATGCGTGTCCCAGGAAGCAACTGAGAAGAAGAAGAAGACTCGATCGCTGGGATAATATGTTCATTCGCCTGACGTTTCGACATCCGTCGCAGATTCATCATCAGAGACATAAGTATCAGAAACGGAACCTGATCGAGTCTTCTTCTTCTTTACGTTGTAATTTACCATATTAACAACCCAGGTACTAGTAAAGACCCAGACACGTGTTTCCATGTATTATGCCACTGATTGACAGAACTGCGAGGAGTCGAGCTCATCCGTTTGCCCCCCAGCTTTCCCTTTTTACCTTCGCGTTGACATACTGCTTTTGAATCTTCAGCTTTTCAATCTTATCAGAGCTTGATTTTTGTTCGCCGTATGTTTTACATATATTCAAAGCCCATAGGCATAAACCGAAGTAGAAGAATACCGGCGGAACACTTTTTTAGGCCGTTTAGCTCGTACCTGGGCTGTTAGTATGGAATGGCTGTTAGTATGCTACCACAGTCTGCCCGTTGGCCACAAGTGCAGATTTCACAGTGGTTGACGAGTTTCACCCCAAATATGCATTTACGATTACGGTCTGTGCCTACAGACCTTGCATATGCTAATATACATCGAAAACAGACATTGATTTATAAGGCTATTAAAAAGTTGAATTTTCAAAACGGATGTATCAGTCAGGAAGTAAACAGGCAAAGCTGGGGGACCCGCTGATGAGCCGGGCCCCTCGCAACTGTGTCAAGCAGCTGCAATGTACTGGCAAAACTCATCGCCAGGCCCCTTAACTATTACCAGGGTAGTTAGTATGATAAGTCAGCGCATCAATATGTGAATTTGTAAAACGAATTTTTCGAAAAACACTTGGAGACTACCGATCACGCTTATAAAATTACCGGTGGATAGATTGGAGTAAGCCTATCACGAACGTATACCTGAGACGAAAAAATAATAATTTAAAAATACACACTCTCATGGCTTGCTGTTCTACGCACAACTGATGCGTTTGGCAGTTTGAAAAGAGTAACCGATGTCAAAGTTGTAAATATTACGTCGGAGTGCGTGGTTCTGCCAGGAAAATCAAAGCCAACATGATGCTGGTAGGCCGCGTCGTATTGAACCCAGCTGATTATTCATGCGCACTTACCTAGGGGAGATTCCTTATAGGAAAATGAGAAAATGTTGATGTTTCTTATTTTTTTACTTTATCATTTCACAGGAAGATAACTGGAGACACATTTTTTGGAAATTGGTAATAGAACTTATTTTTGATGTAAAACGGTATGTGCTTTACCAGTAGATGATGGAGGCTAAAACTCGCCATATTCCAGAAGCGCATACAGTTATGCGCCAACCTCCTAAAATAATCCCGACTTCGTACATAAAGACTGACCTTAAACATATGTCGGACATATCTACAACCGACTTGTACCCCGTAACGATAGCCTTAACCCAAAAACTACGGCTTTAGTTTAACCCATATCAAAATATCAGCAGCAACACTGATCTCCAGGTAAGTAAAAGGAAGACCCCTTCCCAATGAGTGGGAAGTTCATATTTCTATCGGGCTTCCCCACGCATTTTCATGTCACTTCAACTATGTGGCATTATAAGCTGGTCTGGAATTCTTCAGTTTCCAAAAGGCGTTACGATAAGTTAGCATGCCTACAATGACAAAAAAGAAATATCTTCCAATCTAGTCAAAGTTATACTTACTTATTTCCTCTATCACGAAGTAATTAAAGGCTATTTAAAAGCGCGCCAAATGATTGTAAAACTCAAACCTCACAGAAAGTCCTCTTCTTAAATGGTCTCCGCATTACGCTCACCCATATGAGATTTGAGACGTCAACAATACATTTCTACAACTCAGGCGTGATAAAATTTGCACGCAAAAACGAATTATTGGGCTCTGAATCTCAATTTTATCCAATGCCTGCGTTAAATTTCTGTGCGGCTTGGATAGTTGAATGGCATTTTGGAGAGGATATAGTCATTTACAATTAAAATAAAAACGGATATTATTGCTGACATGGTAAGATCTATCAAGTATGTACCCTGCTAGCTCAGAATAAAGGAAAAGTTTAAGGCAAATTATTCCAGTTGTATACAAAAAA